TCATACAAAAGAGGTTTAATTCTCAAAAAAGTGAAGAACTCGGGTTTTGAACAGTGGGTTTTTTGTCTCGTCGGCTGCTTCTGCGAGCTTTTTTTGGCTTGGCTTGAGAACAAGTTACTATCATGCAGACTCATCAATTTTATATACATCAAGTTACTATCATGATGACTCTTCGTAATTTCAAAATGGATTACCTTCTTTTTCAAATGAGGTTTAGTCTGGGTCTCAAAGTAATCTTCTCCATGTTTGATTTTTCCCTACCCCTCTTCAACTGCCACTCAATGTCACTGAAGCATTCTAAGACTGCTGGAGGTTGAATTTATCAGGATCAGTCGGGGTCGTTGTTATTGAAATCTTTGCCTGGTCATATACTGGCTTTGAAGTTCTAGGTTGAAGTTCGATTCAAGTTTCTGTATTGTTTTAGCAATGTCTTAGGTACATACAGGGTTCTTTGAACAAATTGTTCGGATAAGTTACACAAGTTTTGATGTACAATTTTGGTCTGCCTTTTTTCAAATTTAACAGTTATGTCATTTCCACTTTAGACTGATAAACCAGGATCTGCCACTTTTTATAACTGCCACTTTATTCAAAATTTTAAAGAGGCTAAAATTTTATCGGGAAAGTGAGGCTAAAGTGAGGATATTGATGGCTAATGCAATCACTGCAAAACAGCATCTGATGCTATGGGTTGATACTGTTTTTTCTGCTTCTAATAAGAAACCCACCTTTTTTGCCTGGTCAAGATAATGAAAGGCGGAAAAGGAACAAAAATTGGATAAGCTGAGGCCAAAGTATACAAGAGAAAAAATTTGTAACCTTCAACAATATAAAACCGATTCTACAATCAAGAATCATGTCCAGACAATTTTCGCCTAGTAAAGGCAAAAAACCTCTATTTACTAACTACTTATTTGACAAATTTTTTTAAAAATGGAGCCCTTTTTACTCAAGATAAATGTGATTTTTGGTTCCAGGTGTGAATACTCAGAGAACGGTTGTAAAACAAGAATCAATTCTCCTTGTTTATGTTTATAGTATTGTAAATAATATAGATAATTTCGTACTTAGAAAATGTCATGACAAATCTTTTAAATACAACTCAAATCTTTCATAAGTTGTGTCAGAGTGAATGAGAGTACATAGTGATAATCTATAAAGGATTGGCAGGTCGGTCACGACCTTGATAAACAAAAAGGCAATTTAAGTTTAGCACGAATAGCTAGCACATTGATGACGTCATATGAACTAATAAATTACGCCATATCACATTTCCCCCTCTCGGGAAAAATTCAAACAACGTTTGAATTTCTTTATAGTAATGAAAACAAAAACAAATTTATGCCCTCACAGACAATAAACAATACGGCTTGTAACAAATAAACAAACACTAGAAGTTTTACAAATTAACTGATGTGACTTTTAGCGATGAACGGAAGTTTTGTAAGTTTGTATCGAAATCAAAGGTACGAAAGTTTTATTTGTCTGCCCGACGCAAAGGATGGTCAGAGGGACTCTTTTTGGGGAAGCGTGTAAATTTCCGATATAGACCTTCGGAATTATCGGGAACAACCACCCGAGACTGTCCTGCTTGGTTAATCGGTTCTGAGTCTGAATTAGCCACAACAAAACGAACTTTCTTGTCGGGCGAAGCAGGAGTTGACGGAGGTGTAGACATCGACTGAGACTGAATAATATTCACAGAATGTCTGATGGGGCTACCGTAAAATGTAGTCTGTTTTTTACGTCGAGAAGAGGCACGGGACGAATTCGAAGAGGATGAGACATTTCCATCCGGTTCGGAAATTATGACGGGACCGCCTTGGGTGGGAAAGCCCGATGCTGCCACATTTGAAGAAGTTCCTTCTTGAGATTTAGGAATTGAAGATTCATCATCTGACGAAATAGGGATGAGGTCTGGACATACTGGACTTTTAATGACTGAAATAAGTGGCTTCGGTTTAACACTAATGGGGACCCCCGTTCCTTGATTGCCAGACGTGGAAGAAGATACTGTCAGGTCTACTACTGGAGTAGAGTGCTGCGGAGAAGGGATGAATTGTACACCTGGAGCCTCTGAGACTGAAGATTGCTTCGATTTAGTCGACACAATTTGGCCACGCGATTGAGTAATTGAAGATGGCAGAGATGGGAACTTCGAATGAGCAGGGATCTGTAACGTTTTAGCTGTGATGTGTTGACGAGAACTCGATTGTTTTGTTTTAGCTGCGATGTGTTGGCGAGAACTCGATTGTTTGAGTGGCCGATTATCTTCTGATGACGACGGAGAAGAGACACAATGGGGCGTTTCTGCCCCTTCTTGACAGGCGTAAGTTGTTTGCCTGAAAAACTTAGATCGGTTGATTTAAGACGTACCGCCAAATGATTTCTTCTAATCACTTTCCCCTTATCCGAAATATATGTGGACCCAGTAATCCGCACGATTTTGCCCTTAAAAGGTTTGAAAAGTTCTCGGCCAGACTTCCTATTTAGAAATTTCCTAAAAATTTCGACTTTAGTTGGTTCATTCAATACTAAATAATCCAAATTACGTTTTGGTAACGACGGGCGAATTTGATCCAACTGCATCTGATTCCTAAATCTAAGGGTACCAGCTGACAAATTAGAGCGAAGGGTGGCTGCGAGGACTTGATTTCTCTCCGTCAACGTCTTCAAAGCTTTGACTCCCTCCTGGTGGGACAATGACTTTTTCAATGTCAACCACTGATTGGCGGAATGTGCCAGGTTCTCCAGAGCGCGGTAAGGAGGAGTGTCTGAAAGTGAATCCGTAGATCCACCAAAGTATGGAGACACCGTCGGGCTTGACTGCCCCTTCCTGACCACTTTTATCCTCGGTCGGCTATCGCACTGCTCCCGACGCTGTTCGGGTGTTAAAATGTCCCTTTCCAATTGTTGGTTATCTAAATTAACGCCCGTAGATAAACGCTCAGCCGCAATGGATAGCTCCGTATTCGGAGGACGGCCATAATGAAGCTCAAACGGGGAAACCCCAGTAACAGAATTTTTTGTAATCCGAATATCTTCAATAATATTTCTAAGAGTATCTTGAATATTTGAAAAATCCGAACTTAACCGCGAGGCGCCTAAACGACGTTTAATTGTTTGAATCGACCTTTCTACTAAACCGCAACCACGATGGTCCCCCACCGGGCAGAAATATTTTGCAATATTTTTCTCTTGACAAAAATTTTGCACTAATTTGTTCTTAAAACCAGAGTATTGGTCAGTTTTGATAGATTTGGGGATACTGTGCTGTTGAATAGACGATTTAAGAAATTTAATAATCTTCCGTCCTCCCGTAGAACGCGTAATCATAGCTGACGGATATTTTGAGTAACGGTCGATCGCGACCAAGATATACATACTGTTACCAAACGAATCAAGTAGAGGACCCGCGTAATCGAGCTGCAGCTCTTCATTAGGGCCAGACAAAAGGGGTAAAGGCTTGGAAGAGTTAAATGAAGCGTTCGCTTTCAAATTCTTACCAAACTTTGTGCATTGGGGACAATCTTTGCAAAGCTGGACGATATCTCGATGCATTCGGGGCCACCAGATATATTGCGCAGCATCAACCATGGCCAACTGACACGCATGCGACCTATGCAGTCGAGACAATAATGGTTTTCGTAGGCACATGGGTATAGCGATCCTATTATCTACAACAATACAGCCATCAACCACCGCTGCACAATGCCAAAAGGATTTTATATAGGAATCTATACGACAAAATCCTTCGTAGTCCCGATTAATGATCGCTCGTTTCATGAGGCA